TAGTAGTAGTAGTAGTGTGTGTGTGTGTGTGTGTGTGTGTGTGTGTGTGTGTGTATATATATATATATATATATATATATATATATATTTATATATATAAAATGAATGAGGGTTTCAGGATTTATTTTTTTCCCACAGAAGAGCAACTTTGTTAGTTGGAGGGGACAGTGTAGTTTCTTTCCTAAGTGTGAACAAATTGCTTTGTTTCATGATGACAGTTGGAAACGAAATGGCAAATTTAGGCAGCCCACTTACAAACTTCAGGGTATAAAATTCTCACTGGAAAAACAATATCAAGAAAGTGGTGAAGGGAGGCAATGCTTATAGACTGCTGTTATGGTCTGTCTTTCCATGTCTGCCTCTGCTTTCCTCTATAATAGGCAGATTTCCCCCCCCTCCGTTTTGGATGTGCAGAAGATCCAGAATGCAGTGGAACCCTGTGCAGTCCACAGTGCCTACCTGTTGCACTTACAGCTCTTTGGGGCTCTATGCTTTCTAGTGCAGGGGTAGGTTTTAAAGATGGGAGAGACAGGTGGACTCATAAATGTTTGGATCCACCTGTCAAACTTGCTAATAAGGATGCTTCATCTTTGAGGCTGCAAAGTCTTGGCTGTGGAGCACTTCCCATTTTGACCCTGTGGAAAGACTACTCTTCCTGATCAGTGTGGACATGCCCAGTTTGGCATGCACACCCATTGGCTGAGCAGTGCCATATGTACTTACTAAAAATGGCAAACTGCGAGAGAGGGAATGTTGCAGGTTCCAGTGCCTCTTCGCTCCATTGTTTACCGAAGACCTCATCTTTGCTTTCAATATATTGTATTAAATCCAGTATGAAACTAATATAATTGTTACATGAATCACTGAATTTTCTTTGTGGATCAGCAGATTTCTCCATCTTGTTTTGTCTTCCAAATGTATAGTCACCACCAACCTGAACCTGTTGAGTGTCTTGCTGAACCAGGGGCGCTGGAACACTTTTTACAGTGGGGGTGCTGAAAGCCAGTGGTCCCCAAACTTTTTACTTTGCACCTCCCTTACCCCGTCCGTGCCCTCTCTCCCCAGAGCTGGGGCCAGGACTGGGCCGTGGCTCCGGGAGGGTGGGGGGACGCGGACAGGGTAAGGGGGCTGAGGCTGGGACCACAGCTGGGGCTGGGGCCCTGCACAAAACCTGGGGATGCTGCAGCAAGCCCCGTACCCTTAGTTCCCGTGCCTATTGGCTGAAGTGGCCTCTCCCTGGGTTTGGTAATCTGTGAATGGTTTCATTATTCACATTAAAAGGGGGAATCGTAGGATCATCCACAATCACAGTGGGAAAGGAAACACGGTGACAGTTATTGTTTGGTGGGAATAGAGTCTCTCTAGATCTGCTATTGAAAAATCCAGAGTTCTTGAAAATTGTAAAATGTCCTAACATTTCAATGTATATGTGCACAGCTGCTCATTTCACATGATAGGCACATATGACTTAGTCCTAAGTAATTACTTTTTCACCACCATGACAATTATTTGTATTATAATAGTGTCTAGTGGCCCCAATTGAAATCAGTGCTCCATGGTGCTAGGTGCTGTATCTACACCTAGTAATAGATTGCATTTAGGGCTGGGTGAACATTTTTGGCAAATGGTAAATTTGCTAAAAACTGCAGTTTCAGCTGAGTAAAAAATTGAGGATTTTTTTTTTAAAGTCAAATTGACAGAATTTTTTTTTTTTATGTTGAGTTAAATTGACCTGAATGATTTCTCCCTTCCCCTCCCCCACCCATTTTCGTGAGAGGAAAAAATGAAAACAAAGCAATTTAGTTTGAAAACTAACACCATTTTTTTGGATTTTTCAGTTCAGCCATTGAACCAAAAAATTATTATTTAGTCTGCTCTAATCATGTTCTAATGTAATAGATATTTGCTTAGGCTATGTCTACACTACACAGCTTTTAATGACATGGCTGTGTCGCTACAGCCGTGCCGCTAAAAGTTGTGCAGTGTAGCTGCTGTTCGTCAGCAGGAGAGAGCTCTCTTGCCGATTTAAACAAAAAAACCCAAAACAAAACAAAAACTCCAACAAGCGACATTTGTGTTTTCGGCAGGAGAGTGCTCCTGCTGACAATGCACTGTTCACACTGGCATTTGTCACAGCAAAACTTTTGTCTTTTTTTGGGGTGGGGGAAATGGCGTTTTAACCCTCTGAAAGACACGAGTTTTGTAGTTCAATTGCCAGTGTAGACATAACCTTAGTAACATTACATCAATAGGTGATGATAGTGTGTCCCTTGGACACAACACCACATATTTCTGCATGTTCCAGGCAGGAATAATAAGTTTAGAAAGGGGACTGTGGAGGGCTGCTGGTAGTCAGAACACAATTGTGCTACTTTGGTAGTGTATACTACTAGTATGCAACGTATGTGTAGGTCAAGAATTTTGTCCCTGCTATTTAGACGTCAGCTTGGCTGCTGTGCAATAGAAAGCAAATTTGTTCTGTTTATACCATCTTTCTTTCCATCCCTTTTCCATATTTTTTAAAACTTGCAGTACAAACATTTCACTTTGACATGATTTAGTTTTAGTCATAAACTTGTTCGTAGCATTATTTTTTTCACTCTGCTTAATGTACAATTGTTCTGTCATACAACATCTGGTAAAAGTTGACAGTTAAAGTGAAGGGTGAGATCCTTGGATGTTTGGAAAATGTAAAACTGAATTTTATCTTGGTGGGTAATGTTTATAGAAAGCCCATTCATTCATATGGGCTGGTATTTAAACATTGACTTCACAGATGCAGAGACTAGTATTTTCAGTTCCTTGCTGAATCGGCCTGTTGCTGTTTGTGACCCACCCTTGTTAAACAGGGAGTTGTAACATGTTAAATGAAGTCCTGCTGGATCTTGCATTCTTAATAGATAGTTATCTGTGAATGCTCATGCAGGTAGGTGTTCTTAGGAAAACAATGTCTGGAACAACTTTTCTCACTTACATGGGTGGAGATTGGGCAGTTTGTATTGAGGCTCAAAGGCAACTGTAAATTTCATTTAACTATTTGAGATTAAATACTCAATGTAATGCAAAATAGCAAAGGTGAGTTTTTCTATTCCTAGTGTTGATATAGGATTAACTACAAACAATAAACCTTAATTAGCCTTTCACTGCTAGAAACTCTACGGAGATAGGGTGGGGGCACAATTATTATGGTTCTAGAGGAATTGATTTCCTCCAAGCCAGATTCTGATACCTTCACTCCTGCTGAGTAGCACCTTGCTCCGCAAGTCGTCTGATTGAATTGAATAGGACTGCTTGCAGAGTAAATTACTACTCAACATGAGTGAGGGTGTCAGAATCAGGCGCGAATGAGGAAATACTAAAAAGGTTAAATCAGGGGTCGTCAACCTCTGGCACACGGCTCGCCAAGGTAAGCGTCCTGGCGGGCTGGGCCAGTTTGTTTACCTGCCGCGTCGGCAGGTTTGGCCGATTGCGTCTCCCACTGGCCGTGGTTCGCCATCCCAGGCCAATGGGGGCGGTGGGAAGCCGCGGCCAGCACATCCCTCGCCGCTTCCCGCAGCCCCCATTGGCCTGGGATGGCGAACCGCGACCAGTGGGAGCTGCGATCGGCTGAACCTGCCGATGCGGCAGGTAAACAAACTGGCCCGGCCTGCTAGGGTGCTTACCCTGGCGAGCAGAGGTTGCCGGCCCCTGAGTTAAATGTAGGTCTTAGCTAAGTGGCAGCTTAGGGGATGTGGAGTCATAACTATCTGCAAGTATTTGAAGGATGTCAATACCAAGGAGGGAAAATAATTGTTTATTATCATTCAAGGGGCTATAATTAGGAGTAATTGGGTATCATTAGAAAGGGAAAATGCAGCCTAAATATCAGGTGGAATTTTATGACCATGAGACTTGTTGCTATGTAGAATAGTCATCCAGTGGGAGTGGTAGAAAGCCCGCTTTACAATTAAATTGAACAAAACCAGAAGAAAATGTATTGTGCAATGCATAAGTGTTCTTGTGGGGAAGTATAAAAGTTATATCATCTAGTCTTACTCAATGACTCTTTCTAATTTGGTCCAGGTTGACATTCATCTTTGTGCTTTAATAAAATGGTGGGAGCTAATTGCTTATAAATGAACACTAGTCCACTTCCACCATCCCACATCAATTACATATTCATCTGAGAAGCCAAAAGTGCTTTTCTGGGAGGGTGTGTTATTTTATGAGTATTTTTTGTGTGTGGTTAAGGCACAGAACTGTGCACCTCTTTGCATCTCAGTTTCCTCTCCTGCAAATGAGACCTCCCTAACTCAAAGGAGTGTAGTGCGGCTTGGTTCACTGATATTCATAGTGCATTGAGGTTCCTGGGTGGAAGGCTCTCTAAAAATGTAAAGAGTATCCTATCTATTTCTTCCTGGAGGTAACTTTTTTCTTTTTTTAAAGGAACACTGTTAATATCTATAGACTTAAAGATATAGCAATTTAAAAACATTCACTCCCATTAGAACCTCCTGGTGTCTTACATATAATCACATTTCTTTTAAAAAGTATAAAAATTCTTTGGGTCCACAGCGGCCAAAACAGCCCCCATTTTTTGCTGTGCCCAGTGTTCCCTGCATGAAATAATATAAGACTTGTATGTTATCTTTCATCAAAAGATCTCAACGTGCACTAAGTTTGTGAGGTGTATAAGTTTTATTTTTGTCTGATTTAAAGGTGGAGAAGCTGAGAGATGGGGAAGTTTTGATTTGACCACAAGGTCACCCAGTGAGTTGCAGAGCCAAGGTTAGAATCCAAAATTACTCTGTTCTTTGCCAAAATAGGCGATGCTCCCTTCCTACACAGCACACCGTTGCTGCATATTTATATTTAAAGGGTTGGATCATCTAAAAGTGTTGGTTGGCCTGCAACATCTAGATAAATAGTAGCTGGGAGGCGAGCAATGGTGCAGGGATTGGTTTCCAAAGTACTGTGTACTGTAGCTAATAGCTGAGTCAGAGGGAGAAGGTGACTTGGTGGATAGTTTTGGTTTTTTTTCCCTGTTTAAATAGTTTCTTCTTTATTGTAGGATCTGGGGGTGGGTGGGTCACCCCTCCCCCACCTCTGAGGGTGGGGGGCCAGCAGCTCGGTCATGGCGTGCACGCCTAGAGTGTCGTCTGTCACCAGAAGTGGGGAGCGGAAGCTGAGACACACACAGCCACGCCAGCAGGGGAAGGGGGGCCCGGACTCCTGGGTTCTTCACGCCCCTCCAGAGGGAGCTCAGCTCTTCTGCAGGCCAGGAGCCTGTAGGCATTGGTGGGAGACAAAACACTGCAGGCCATATCCTGTGAACAAGTTAAATGGAGGCACTATTAGTTGGCAGGTAGTGTTTACAGGATCTTATCCTAATGTGGAACCAACTATCATTTATTTATTTCCCGTTCATGACATCTTGCCTTGCAATCCTAGGCAGGAGACCATCAATCGAATTAGATGTTAGAAATGTTCTTTTTTGCCAAATGCCTATTTGTTTTTAATAGCAGACAGGAATTCAGTCATTTAAATCAATTGTAAATTTTATATTTAAAAATTAAATGCACTGTAGGAAGTCTCCAGAAATGTTTTCCGTAAACTGCCTATCCCTAATAGGATATGTTTAGATTTCTGTTCTGTGTAGTTATGTTTTCATGCTTAAATTTTCTTAACAGTTGGTTGAATATACAGTTACATGCTATTTGAACTGTCTGTGTTTATGAATTTAAATCCTTAAAACTGGCTTGTTGCTTTAAGTCATTAATCATTTCAATAAGTAACGAAGCTTTTCAGGAAGAAAATTTCCATTCTGTATTTTTTTTTTAAGTCAAGTTTACATAAACAGGAATTCACAATTTATTAGACTTCAGTGTCTCAGTGGAATAAATTAAATTCTATTGCAGAGCAATCCATATCAGTTTGAATTGAAAGAATAAGCATTTGTGGAAGATGATCTTTTGCAATGATATTGTGTATGTTTTTAGGATGTTTGCAAAGAAACTTTAGCTATAGTAAGTGTGGCAGGTATTTTATCCTGATATATGCTATCAGTTTGTATGTCTCTTAACTTCTCAAACATAACTTTGAGGGCGCAGGAGTTTAGTTAGAGAATTTTGCGTAACGCAAAATGGAAGTTTTACACTCGTCAAACATTTATTTGCTCTATTGTTTTCACATTTGATGAATATGAATCTATGTAAAAGTAGATGGAAATGTTGACCATATTATTTCATCTGGAATGTATCGTAAGTCTAGAAAAGATATGGCGATTCATCTGTGGCTGCCATAATTCATTTCTGCTTTGAGTTTATTAATACACAACAGAAATGATGGTGCAATCTTTACTCAAGTTAATAAGCCTTTCATGAGCAGTCCCATTGGCCTCACTTGGCCTACTCTCTTATGTAAATGGTGCAGAAGAGTAAATATTTTGTGTTGCATTGAAGCTGCTTTGTTTTCCTTTTTTTCTCAAGAAAAGGGAAGACTATAGAGGGATCTGCCCAAGGCGGCATATGCCGTGTTAATAGCATAAGCCTGCTGAGATGGATTTACCTAGTTAAAAGAAAAAAAATGACTAATAATGGACTATTGAGTTTACAGAGGCATAGTTAAAATAGACTAATGTTGCAGTAGTTTAGCATAACTTGAAAAACTCTGGATGCAGGGTTTTTAAAGAATCTTTGACTTGTCTTTCACAAAATAACTCTGCTTTCATATTTAAAGTATTGCACTTGTATAAACTAGCAAAAATAATTGAATGGTTTTAGTAAGTATATAATTTTAAAACATAAATAATCACTGTCAAGTGATTAAAAAGATTAATCGTGATTAAGCGTGCGATGAAAAAGATTAAGCGTGCAATGTTAAACAATAATAGAATGCCATTTATTTAAATATTTTGGGTGTTTTCTACATTTTGAAGTATATTGATTTCAATTACAACACTGAATACAAAGTGTATAATGCTAATTTTATATTTATTTATGATTGCAAATATTTGCACTGTAAAAAAATAGTATTTTTCAATTCACCTCATATCTTTTGTTTATCATTTTTACAGTGCAAATATTTGTAATAAAAATAAGATGACGTGAGCACTGTATACTTTGTATTCTATTGTAATGGAAATCAGTATATCTGAAAATGTAGAAAAACATCCAAAAACATTTAATAAATTGGTATTCTATTGTTTAACAGTGTGATTAATCGTGATAAATTTTTTAATCATGATTTTTTTTTAGTTAATCATATGTTAACTGCGATTGACAGCCCTAATAAATATATAGACTGAATTCACATGCGTAAACTTACCTCGTACGTATGTATATGAATTTTTGTTATAAAATTTCCCACATACAACAGCAGTTCAATAATTTGCATTAATGATTGGGAAGACCATTGCAAATCCCTGAATTTTATGAATCAGGAAAGGAACAAATGATATAAAGGAAGGCTAATGCTAAAGACACAATGTGCTTTATTCATTTATTTTGACAATTATAGTTTAAGGTACATCTACACAGAAAAATAAATAAAACACTGCCGCAAGTCTCAGAGCCCTAGCATGAATATATCTACACTGCTATTTTTAGCCCTGTGACCCTGAGTCAATTGACTCGAACTCTGAGGGTAGTTCTGACTGCAGCTAGACACCTGCGGCTGGCCTGTGCCAGCTGGCTCGTACTCGTGAGGATCGGGCTCGGGCTGTTTAATTGTGGTGTAGATGTTCAGGCTTGGGGCTTTCAAGCTTTGCAAGCTCCTAGAGCCCAGCCTGAGCCAGAATGTCTACACCACAATTAAACAGCTTTTTAGCCTGAGCCGCATGCGCCTAAGTCAGCTGGCATGGGCCAGCAGCGGGTTTTTAATTGCAGTGTAGACATATCCTGAGACTTCGCACCACAGGTATTTTGCAGCATAGACATACCTCTAACGTACCATTTTAAAATGGTAGTGCAGTATAGTTCTTAAAGATAATAAAGATTTAGCAAAATAAGAATTCACTTAACCTCTTTATTATAGGGCTTGAACATTTAACCTTTAAGCTAGGAGATATTAGGTAAGTCTAGCCAGGGTGAAAAATACGCTGCTAAACACCCTGCAACTAATATCAGTCAACTCTCTATTTAAAACATTAAAAAAAAAAATGAAAAAAAAACCCTTGCTCTGTCCTTCTTGCTTTTGTTATGCCTGCTTTCCTTTCCTGTCTTGATGGCACTTTTTCTTTCTTTAAGTTGGTCTCTTCCTTAAAACTGCCAACAAGATTGATACAAGCTTGTCTTCACTAGAATATTTGGTTGTACCAGGATACAACCTTGAGGAGCCTAGGCATGATTTTGCGGTCAGTGTAGATGAGGACAAGTAGTGTTTAACACTTGACTCACAATCAAACGACAATTTTAAGCATTGTTTGCCCCCATTGTTAATGAATGCAAAGTCAAATTTACCATTGCAGTGTTGCCTGCTCTATTATTTGAGTCTTGTGATATTTGGTGTTTTTCTTTAAGCTACAGCTGCTTCAACTAAAGGTATGTTTACTATGGCAGAGTTACATCACTGGCAGTTATAGCGCTGCTCAGAGAGCACCGAAGAGAAACCGCTGTTGTGTGTTCACACTGTCAGCTGCCTGCGCAATAGCATGTTCACACTTGCGGTCCTTGCAGCGATATTCAGAGCAGTGCACTCCGGGCAGCTATCCCGCATAGCATCTCTTCCTCTTCTGCCGCTAAGAGTTGTGGGAAAGTGGAGGGAGTCGCGGGGCATCCTGGGTCCTGTCCCAGTACCCTGTGATCCATTGCTTCGCATCCCAGCAATCCCTGTGCTTGTGTCCGCATTTGATGCCATCTTTCAATGGTTTGTGTACTGTGCGCTCTGCCTCTTTGGTCTGCAAGAATGGATCCCACGCTGCTGACCAATATGCTGCTCGCTTTCACTAACACTTCATGAGTGGCAGTGGAATTATTCCTTAAACTACAAAGGCAAGAGGAGTTTGACATTGATCTTGCCACGCATAGTAGCTATGACACGAGATTGCTTGTGGCATTCACGGAGGAGCTGACCACAGTGGAACGCCGCTTTTGGGCTCGGGAAACAAGCACTGAGTGGTGGGATCACATTGTGATGCACGTCTGGGATGACAAGCCGTGGCTGTGGAACTTTCGGATGAGGAAAGCCAGATTCATGGGATTGTGTGGTGAGCTCGCTACAGCCTTGTGGCACAAGGACACAAGAATGAGAGCTGCCCTGCCATTGGAGAAGCATGTGACGATTGCACAGTAGAAGCTGACTACTCCAGACTGCTATCGATTGGTCGCTAACCAGTTCAGAGTGGGAAAGTCGACCGATGGACTCGTGTTGATAGAAGTGTGCAGGGCCATTAATCGCATCCTGCTCTGAAAGACCGTGACTCTGGGCAACATGTGTGACATTGTGCACAAATGGGCTTCCCTAACTGCAGAGGGGTGATAGATGGCACACATATTCCAATTCTGGCACCAAACCACCTAGCTACAGAGTACATTAATCGGAAGGGGTATTTCTCTATGGTTCTCCAGACGCTTGTGGATTACCGTGGGCATTTCACGGACATTAACGCAAGCTGGTCCGGAAAGGTGCATGATGCATGCATCTTTTGGAACACTGGCCTGTTCAGGAAGCTTCAAGCAGGGACTTTCTTCCCGGACCCGAAGATCACTGTAGGGGAAGTCAAAATGCCCATCGTGATCCTGGGAGACCTCGCCTACCCGTTAATGCCATGACTTATGAAGCCAGGCATG